TTTTGTGGAGGTGAGAAAGGACAAGAAGAGTAGCACGCACCACCATTTTCAGTGTCAGGACATGGATCCCTGTAGCTCAATTACGTGTCCATGATTCTTGAGAAGTCTACCTTTCCTGAAGAAGCTGGGGAGTTGGGGGGAGGGGAAGTGGAGCTTAAAAAGAACTTGGTTTCTAACTGCTCCCATTGCAATATCTTATTATAAAAATGTACTTTTTAAACATAGGTTTCCATCTTGTATTACTTTGTGTCTTGGAGTCTCTCCCTCATGAATTACTTTGCATCTTGTTTGAAGTGAACCATTTTAAAATTTATATCCTGTCCTACTTTTATTTCAAGACTTTACTTAAAATATCTTTTTTCTCTTCGCCCTATTCAGATATGCATGAACATTTTATGCATTTCACACTCTTTAAGATGGAGAAAATAATATGCTAATCTGAATAGTGGCATAATCTGAGTAGGAATAGAGATGTTATTTTCAAAAGAGTGGACAATGATATATCTTCCTATTGCTATCAGTTATCTCCCTTGTTAATATAACATTCATATAGAAAGACATGGATTAATAAAGCAAGTAAGTAGAACACGAATTTGGGAGTGTTCTTAATTTGATGGAGCCCAGCATAGAAAATGTTTGCTTCTTGAGGCCAGACAGCCATCTAACTTTCTTTTGTATCCCCTATTCCACTCAAGGAATCAAATACATACACAGTAGTTACTAAATGCGTGCTTAGATTAATGAAATAAATATTATTATTTCATAAGCATTTTTGAAACATAAAAAAATCTAATACTATTGTGGTCTGGCTGTTTTCCCATCCAAATCTCATCTTGAATTGTAGTTCCTATAATCCCCAAATATCATGGGAGGGACCCTGTGGGAGATAATTAAATCACAGGGGCAGTTACCTTCTTGCTGTTCTTGTGATAATGAGTTCATTCTCATGAGATCTGATGGTTTTATAAGGGGCTTTTCTCCCTTTATTTGGCACTTTTCTCTTCGCAGTCATGTGAAGAAGGACATGTTTGCTTCTCATTCTGCCATAATTTTAAGTTTTCTGAGGCCTAACTAGCCAGGTGGAACTGTGAGTCAATTAAACCTTTTTTTAAAATAAATTACCCAGTCCCAGGTATTTCTTCATAGCAGCATGAGAATGGACTAATACAATAAATTGGTACTGCAGGGAATAGAGTACTGCCATAAATACACCTGAAAATGTGGAAGCAACTTTGGAACTGGTTAACAGGCAGAGGTTGTAACAGTTTGGAGGGCTCAGAAGAAAATAGGAAAATGTGGAAAAGTTTGGAACTTTTTAGAGACTTGGAGAGCTCAGAAGACAGAAAGATATGGGAAACTTTGGAACTTCCTAGATACTTTTGAACAGCTTTGACCAAAATGCTGATAGCGATATCCACAATGAAACCCAGACTGAGGTGGACTCAGATGGAGATAAGGAACTTGTTGGGAACTGGAGTAAAGGTCACTCTTGCTATGCAAAGAGACTGGCAGCATTTTGTCCCTGCCCCAGAGACCTGTGGAACTTTGAATTTGAGAGAGATATTTAGACTATCTGGCAGAAGAAATTTCTGCATAGCAAAGCATTCAAGAGGAAGCAGAACATAAAGTTTGAACAATTTGAAGTCTGATGATGTGATAGAAAAGAAAAACCTATTTACTGGGGAGAAATTCAAGAAATTCACTGTAGAAATTTGCATAAGTAATGAGGAGCTAAATGTTAATCACCAAGACAGGAGGAAAAATGTCTCCAGGACATATCGGAGACCTTCAGGGAAGCTCTTCCCATCACAGACTTGGGGGCCTAGAAGGAAAAAATGGTTTTTTCAGGACCCCCGGTTCTGTGCAGCCTGAGGACATGGTGCCCTGTGTCCCAGCTGCTTCAGGTCCAGCCATGCTGATAGGGACCAAGGTACAACTCATGTCATTATTTCAGAGGGTGTAAGCCCAAAGCCTTGGTGGCTTCCATGTGGTGTTGAGGCTGTGAGTGTCCAGAAGACAAGAATTAAGGTTTGGGAACCTCTGCCTACTTTCAGAAGAGGTATGGAAATGCATCTATGTCAGGCAGAAGTCTGCCAATGGGGCAAAGCCCTCATGGAGACCCCCTGCTAGGGCAGTGCAGAAGGGAATTGTGGGGTTGGAGCCTTCACACAGAGTCCACGTTGGGGAGGTACCTAGTGGAACTGTGAGAGGAGGACCACCATCCTCCAGACCTCAGAAGGGAAGATCCACTGACAGCTTGCACCATGGGCCTGGAAAAGCCACAGACAGTCAGTGCCAACCCATAAAATCAGCCAGGAGGGGAGCCGTGCCCTGCAAAGCCACAGGGGCAGAGCTTCCCAAGGCTGTGGGAGACCACTGCTTGTGTCAGTGTGCCCTGGATATGAGAAATGGAGTCAAATTAATTCGATCATTTTTTAACTTTAAGGTTTAATGGCTGCACTACTAGACTTTGGGCTTTAAGTATTTCCTTGTTAGATTTCAGACTTGATGGGCCTGTAGCCCCTTTGTTTTTACCAATTTCTCCCATTCGGAACAGGTATATTTACCCAATACCTGTACTCCCATTGTATTAACAAAGTAACTAACTTGCTTTTGATTTTACAGGCCCATTAGCAGAAGGAACTTGCCTTGTCTCAGATGAGACTTTAAACTTCAACTTTTGGGTTAATGCTGGAATGAGCTTAGATTTTGGGGGACTGTTGGAAGGGCATGATTGTGTTTTGAAATGTGAGGACATGAGATTTGGGAGGGGTCACAGGCAGAATGATGGTTTCACTGTGTCCTCACCCAAATCTCATCTTGAATTATAGTTTCCGAAATGCCCACATGTCATGGGAGGGACCCAAGAGGAGGTAATTGAATCATGGCAGCATTACCCTCACACTGTTTTCCTGATAATGAGTTCTCATGAGTTCTCTAATGGTTTTACAAGCGGTTATTCCCCCTTTACCTGGCACTTCTCTCTTCTGTTGCCATGTGAAGAAGGATGTGTTTGCCTCCCCTTCTGCCATGATTGTAAGTGTCTTGAGGCTTCCACAACCATGCATAACTGTGAGTCAATTAAACCTCTTTTCTTTACAAATTAGTCTTGGGTGTTTCTTCATAGCAGCATGAGAACAGACTAATACAAATTCTGTACTAAATTTTACTAGGATTCACACCAGGAAAGGTCAAAGAAGAGATTTTTGACTAGGAATTCAGTGCTGGTTTATGTGACTCTCTAGGGCTAGTGTGTGGACACATCCAACAAAGAACCATGTTTACAGATGGAGAGGCTGGAAAGAATACTAGAAATTAGACAAGTGGTCCTCAATTTTGAGTGTGCTGCAAAATCACCCAATTGGGGGCTTCATAAAGTAAAAAGTGACTGGCCCGAGTTCCTGGGAATGTCTGATTTGTAGATCTGAAATGGGAGCTGAGAATTTGCATTTCTAACCATCTCACTCCCAGGTAATGCTACTGCTGCTCATTCAGGTAACACACTTTGCAAATTACTGACTTAGACCTTTCTTGGAGAGCTGGCCCAGTTCAGGGAATTTGAACAGTCTGCTTGCTCTGTGATCTGCACTGAAAAGAAGTGATTTCAGAGATTTCCAAGAGGAGTACAGAGATAATGGTAACTACGGGGATCTCAGAATAGTGTTAAGTGTCTTGCTTCCCCCTGATTTATACACCGATTATAATCTGGCAGAAAGAGGAGAGAATGGCCTCAGTAACTCAGATGTGAGTTAGAACCAACTGAAATAAATGAAGTGGAAGATAGAATCCATTGAATTGCCTCATTAATAAAGCTTAGCCATCCCTAATCTAAAACCCAAAATGCTCCAAAATTCAAAGCTCTTTGAGCACCTAAATGGTGCCACAAGTGAAAATTTTCATACCTGACCTTATCTGATGGGTCACAGTCAAAACAGGGTCAAAACTTTGTTTTGATCACGAAATTATCAAAGATATTGCCAGAAATTGCCTTTAGACTATATGTTTAAGATATACAGAAATGAATTTTGTCTATAGACTTGAGTCCCATCCCCAAGGTACTTCATTATGTAGATGCAAATATTTCAAAATCCAAACAAATTCAAAATTCAGAGCACTTCTGATCCCAAGCATTTTGGGTAATGAATATTTAACCTTTAGTTAAATACCTTACTTTCAGTTAAGTTAATGTAATTTAAGATCATGTACATTGACTTTACATATATCTAAGATAATTTATTTAATGTGTATACCCTAGAATATCTTTACTTCTGCAAAGAAAGTCTGTACTCCTTACTTGACTGTGCCAGATCAAGGTAAAATGGGGAAGGTGGAGAAATGTCAGCCCAGGGAAAGGGGAAAGTCCATTCATCCTAGAGAAATGATTTAGAAGAAACCATATCCATTTCCCATCCATAGACCTTTCACTCCAATTATTGCTATCTCTCAGGTAAATAGCCTTAGGAAGTTTCTGAAAAAGTGGCAAGGGCTTCAGCAACCAGGTAGCATAGGGACGCCTGTCACCTTATTGCAATACCGAAATGGAAACTACCTAAAATTTAGAACTGTTTTTATATGCTTCATTGTGCTCATCTAATTAGGTTTCCTGAATTTTAGATCTTGAGTACAAAGGTTGCACATACTGTTTTGCGTTCCTTCCAGCTGAATTTCATATAATATTGTAATCAAGGACTTGGGGAGACATTGGCATTTTTTTTCTTTATAGATTTTCTTTTTTGCCAACAAGAAGGAATAATGATATTATATTAAAATTAACTATGTCTCAAAATATAAAAACTTTTTGGTAATCAAATGATTAAATATTCATATTAAATTTTTGTTAATTTGAATATAGAAATAAAAATCTGCTTGGTGATCCTTTCAAGGGAAAGCTGTAGCTCAGCTCATACATAAAAAGCCACACAAAAATGACTCTGGAGACCTTGGCTACACGTTCAGCGGTCAAATATTTCAATGCTCTGTTGCTCTCGTTCCTGTTACAGGTACATGTGACAGCGCTGCAGCTATGAGTGGAATTTTAAAGAGGAAGTTTGAAGAAGTTGACGGCTCCTCACCCTGCTCCTCTGTGAGGGAATCAGATGATGAAGTTTCCAGCAGCGAAAGTGCTGACAGTGGGGACAGTGTCAATCCATCCACTTCTAGTCATTTTACCCGTGAGTACTGAAATCAGAACCAAAGTCAATTGTATGGTTCTGCAACAAAATTAATTGTCATTTTAATTTTTACCTTTAATTCCAGCTATGTATATTTTCCAATCAACAAAGTACAAAGAACAGTTACCCAAAAATGCAGTATTTTCCAGGTGACTCAGTAGATTCCTTTATTTAGAATACTTTTTGCAGGGTATTATTTGATTGTGTTAACCAGTTAATTGAATTTCAGAATCACATTTCATTATTAATGCTTTTCCAAATAAACACCTAGTACTCTGGGAACAGATGGGTGAAGACAGATAATAACTCCAGTTTCAGATAAAGGTGTCCTTTCACAACTGAAATGATGTTCTAGGAGAAAACATTTTAAAAGGCATTATTAAGGAATGGAGAGTCTAGATTATGATTAGAAGGAGTTTAGGCAGCCAGGGATTAGGAAGAGATGTGAAGGCAGCAGGTGTCTCCCAAATGTGCAAGTGTGTGCAGTCCAGTGCCTCTTTCCTAGTGATTCCTCTAGTCCCTCTTCTCCAAGAATAATATTTAAAGCCCAAGAAAAAACACATTTTATGCTTTATTTATTTTATTTTATTTTTTTGAGATGGAGTCTCACTCTGTCGCCCAGGCTGGAGTGCAGTGTGGTGATCTCGGCTCACTGCAACCTCTGCCTCCCAGGGTCAAGTGATTCTCCTGTCTCAGCCTCCTGAGTAGGTGGGACTGCAGGTGCACAGCACTGCGCCTGGCTAATTTATCTATTTATTTGTTTGTTTGTTTGTTTGTTTGTTTTGTATTTTTAGTATAGATGGGGTTTCACTATATTGGTCAGGCTGATTGCGAACTCTTTACCTCAGGTAATCCACCCAGGTGTGAGCCACAGCACCCAGGCTATGTTTTCTTTTTGATTCCTTTTTTCGCCACAATGTAATGTCAGCCTTTCTGTCAGGCAAGATAAAAGGCGGTTTGGAGGACTAATATAAAAAATTATTAAGGCAATGTAATCTATAGTAAAAAGGAAACTGACTAGCAATAGTTAAATAATCTTTGAAAATTTATGTTTCTTAAACAGGAAGATTTTAATATGTTTTAGTATTATGATAGATAACTGGTCTTTTTTTTTTTTTTTTTTTTTTTTTTTTTACTTTCCAATTAGCTAATGTTGTTAATATATGACTCTATAACAAAGAATTGACTTGGGCAATGTCACAACTCCAAAAACTAAATGATTTAAACATATTTTTGAGAGATAATAAGAAACTCAATAGCTGTTGAACATGAAATAAATATGGCAAAATCAGTAGTATTCCATTAAGCAAGCACAACTAATTAGACAATATGATGAAAAGATTACAATAATTATAGTAGAAAAATTCATAAAATATTTAGGGACAAGGTTATGGTGTGTTGTAGGTGGTCTACAAATACTTTGACATATATCCATGATAGTATGCAATGAGCTTGTGCTTTTGATTCAAAAGAAGAGATGTACTTAGATTTTTTATCTTAATACTAGTAGTGATAATATTATTATCTCGTGGGTTTTTGCAAAGATCAAACAGACGAAGTGAGATAATGCACATGAAAAAATCTTGGTAAAATGTCAAGTACTAGGCAGATGTTTAATTAAAAATTATGATCATAGCTAACATTTGTTGGATACAGGCTATGCTCCAATAGCTTTATATACATTATCTATACTCCTTACAACAATTCTGAAAGTAAGTAGTACTGTCTGCACTTTACAGAGGAAACAAGTGAGGCTCAGAGAGGCTAAGCATCTGGCACAAGATCACGCAGGAGTTGAGCCTAGATATATACACATGTCCTACTACATAGTCTCTACCTGTTGCATGATGGTCTTATTTTGCCCCTTAATTATATAATATTGGACATATCTTTAAAATGTTATTTCTTGTGAGTTATAATGGAAGCCTTGAGTTATTGAAGAGGCAGATTATGTTTCTAGTTAAAAAGATAATGCCATTAATGGTTTCAACATTAATTTATAAATACAAGAGAAAAACTAAAACAAAATCTTCATCTGGCATTTCTTAGGTGACAGAATGATAAAAGTTGATTTGGAGAAATAAACTAATGAGAATAAAAAGGTATTTTTAAAAAGAAGCCATAAATGTTGAAAAGCCATTCCATATATCAAATTATAGTAGAACACAATGTAACTGATGTTTTTTCATAATGTGCTCTATTTAGGAACCAACATGTTATATATGAAAATTTTATGTATATAAGAAAAGAGCATTATAAGAAAATGAGAAAGGGAAAGACTATTTAATAAATGGTTGTGGTGGTAAGAAATTTGAAAAAGTGATTTAGACTTATATCTTACAATATAGGCCAAAATACCAGATAGATTACATGGATAATTTTTTTCATTAATGAGGAAAGTTGCATTTTGCCATTTAGTGGAATCACTACATGAACTTTGATATGAGAAGAAAAAATAATCACATTAAAAATACTTAATATATTTAACGATGTAAAAATATTAAACTTATCTGCTACTTAAAAAAACAAAGCCCAAAAACAATTTATATTGGAAAAATTATGTGCAGTTAATATAGCATTATTTTCTGTTCACAGCATAGCAAAAGTACATGTAATTTCTTGAGATAAATATGAAGACACACATCTTTAAGGTAAATCCACATAGTAGGAAATATGATTAGCAAATATTTTAAAGCAATGAACAACAATAACAACAAAAATGCAGACTAAAAATACTAACGAGTTTTCATTAGAATGAAATCACAGAGATTTCAACCCTTGAAATTGGTACTCATTTATCCAATAAAAAATACTAATACGTAAGTGCTGGTGAAGTTTGCAGTACATTGTAGTCACACACGTCTATTAATGGCATTGATATTTAAAAAGCACTTTGGAAATACAAAAGCCATAAAAACATTCATAAGTCTGTACTTCAGAGAATTTTTCTGAAGAGAGAAATATTAAAATCAAGGTGAAGACTGTATAAATGAAAATATTTGTGGTTGATAATAGTATCAAAAAAGAGGGATTGGAGAGCAGGGAGAGAAAGGACCATGTCTAAGAGTGAGGAAATGAGCCATTAAGTTATGGTAACGTATTCACTAATTTATTTTCTTTATAGTTATGAAGACCTTTTGGCAATATGTACAATGTTTGTGAAGTAACGATAAGGAAGAAAAGCAGAACACGATATTTTATCTATATTGTCAGGCAGAGTCTAAGTCTATGCCCGCACAAAGGTAAAGAATGGCAGGGTGTCCCAATAACTAGAAACAATTTGATTTGTTGAGGAATTAAAATTACAAATGAATTTTTATATTTATTAATTTTTAAGTCTGTTAACTTTGTATGTGTTCTCACAACAAAGTAGCCAATTGAAACTGCTAAAAATTATAACTGTAGTTCACATTGTGTTTATGTTTGCAAAGCAGCAGATTGAAATGGCATGATAAGCTAAGATATATATCATTCAACAAATACAGACTTTGTTATAAGTTATGTTCAACAGAGATTATTTTTTTCATTGAAGAAAACAGACTTATTTTACGATGTCTAAGAAGTCATTGAAGTGTTTCAGCACATCATTTAATATCAGTCATAGTGGCAATGGTTAGTTTATAACATGCTGTTTTAGCTTTGTATTAAATAGAATCTGGCAGGGATTTCTAATGCTTTTTAAAAATAATTAAGAAATGATTTAATAAAAACTGCTATTTTCATTTAATAGTCTGCTTTGTTCACTATAGTCACATTATGAGGAGAATAAAATGGGAACAATAGTAAAGAATCAAAAAACAAAAATTCTACCTGGAATATTTGTTGCAGAAAACATTTGAGAGGTTGGGCACGGTGGTTCATGACTATAATCCCAGCACTTTGGGAGGGTGAGGCAGGAGGACCGCTTGAGCCCAGGCAGTTGAGACAAGCCTGGGTAATAAAGTGAGATCCCCATCTCTAAAAAAATTTTTTTTTTTTAAAATAGTCAGTTATGGTGGTGCATGCCTGTGGTCCCAGCTACTTGGGAGGATAGCTTGAGTCCAGAAGGTTGAGGCTGCAGTGAGCCGTGATTACACCACTGCACTTGAACCTGGGTGACAGAGTAAGAGAAAGAAAGAAAAAAAAAGAGAGAGAGAAAGAAAAAAGAAAAGAAAGAAAGAAAGAAGGGAGGGAGGGAGGCAGGAAGGGAGGGAGGGAAGGAGGGAGGAAGGAGGAAGGAAGGAAGGAAGGAAAGAAGGAAGGAAGGAAGGAAGGAGAAAGAGAAAGAAAGAAAAGAAAAAGAGGAAAGAAAGAAGGAAAGAGAGAGGATGCCGGGCGCGGTGGCTCAAGCCTGTAATCCCAGCACTTTGGGAGGCCGAGGCGGGTGGATCACGAGGTCGAGAGATCGAGACCATCCCGGTCAACATGGTGAAACCCCGTCTCTACTAAAAATACAAAAAATTAGCTGGGCATGGTGGCACGTGCCTGTAATCCCAGCTACTCAGGAGGCTGAGGCAGGAGAATTGCCTGAACCCAGGAGGCGGAGGTTGCGGTGAGCCGAGATTGCGCCATTGCACTCCAGCCTGGGTAACAAGAGCGAAACTCCGTCTCAAAAAAAAGAAAAAAAAAAAAGAAAAAAAAAAAAAGGAAAGAGAGAGGAGGAAGGGGAAAGAAATAAAAAGAAAAAGAGAAAGAGGAAAAGAAAAGAAGAAAAAGTAAAGCAAAGATTGGAGGTGGGTTCTTTGTTTGTTTGTTTTGTTATTTTTATTGTTGTTGTTGTTGTTTTGAGACAGGGTCTCACTGTTACCCCAGTAGCTGGGACCACAGGTGCATAGCACTACCTACTACACTGGGCCATTTTTTTGTATTTTTTATAGAGATTGGGTTTCATCATGTTGCCCAGGCTGTTCTCAAATTACTGAGCTCCAACAATTTTCCTACTTCAGCCTCCCAAAGTGCTAGGATTACAAGCATGAGCCACAGTGCCCATCCTGTGATCTAAGTGTTTTAGCCAGTGTGGG